AAAAAAAAAAAAACATGTAGGGAAAAAAAAAAAAAAAAATTCATTGCAAATTATGATGCACCATTGTAACTGTGATTATAGTTTTTTTTTGAAGAATTATTTAAACCTTAAAAATAGGTACACAGAAGCCGTATCGGTGCTCTATTTATCTGAGATTTTATTTATTAAAAAAAAAAAAATATTTGTTATTTACATTTATATATTGTAATTAAATACACTAAATAATGAGACTTAATGAATGTATAAAGTTTATATATTTTTAACACCATCTTTAGATACGGCTTTGTAGGTACACTAAAAAAAAAAATACATGTAGGGAAAAAAAAAAAAAAAAAATTCATTGCAAATTATGATGCACCATTGTAACTGTGATTATAGTTTTTTTTGAAGCATTATTTAAACCTTAAAAATAGGTACACAGAAGCCGTATCAGTGCTCTATTTATCTGAGATTTTATTGATTAAAAAAAAAAGATTTGTTATTTACATTTATATATTGTAATTAAATAACTAACATTAAATACACTTAATAATGAGACTTAATGAATGTATAAAGTTTATATTTTTTTAACACCATCTTTAGATACGGCTTTGTAGGTACACTAAAAAAAAATACATGTTGGGAAATTAAACATTAAAATTATTCATTGCAAATTTAATGCACCATGGTAACTGTGATTATTAGTTTTTCTGAAGTATTATTTTTACCTTAATCAAAAGTACATAAAAACTGTATCAGTACTATAATTTTAGGAGAATTTTATTAATTTCAACAGTAGTTCTGTAGATTTATATGACTTTATAAGTACACTAAACTATATTAAAATGTATTATAAATACATTTATATCGCCTACTTAAACATTCGCATTTAAAAAGCTTATGCCACAAAACAATCAAATTAAACACTGACAATAAAAGCAATAAATCTAGCTACTAAATGAATGTAAAAAATCATTATACTTCAAACACTGTTCTTAGATACAGCTTTGTAAGTATACTAATATAATACATGTTGGGAAACAAAATATTAAAATGTTTTGATTTCAAATTATAAGGGATTCTCGTAACTGTTTAGGGTTTCTGTAGCATTTTCACTCTTATAATAAGTACACAAAAGCTACATCAGTACTAAATTTTTCTGTAGATTTTCAAATATTTGTATTAATAGTTTTATTCAATACATTTACCTTGTGAACTTAAACACTCACATTGAAAGCAATAAATAAAGCTACTTAATGAATATAAAAAAGACTAAACCCTTCAAACACTACAGCATTAGATACGGCTTTGTAGGTACACTATAATAAAATGTAGGGAAATAATATTTTAAAATGTGTCTAATCTAAAATATAATGTTGTCTTATAGCTAAGTTTATGGTTTTTTTTTTTTTGTTGAATTCATTTCACCTCAAACATTAATATAAAAAGCCGTAACATTACTAAATTTTCTGGAGATTTCAATTGAAAAGTTTGTTTTATACTTTTATATTGTGGACTTAAATTCCCACATTTAGAACAACGAATAAAGCTACAAAATTAACATTAAAAAGACCAAACCTTCAAACACTATATTCAGAAATGGCTTTGTAGGTAAACTAAAATTATATATTCTGGGGAATAATATTCTAAAACTTTTCTCATCTTAAATTTATTATATCCTCATAATTGTTTGTTTATGGTGATTTGTCGAATTCATTTCACCTCAAATATAATTTTTCTAGAGATTTTCTAATATATCATTAAAAAATTTTGTTCAATATATTTACCTTGTGGACTTATGCATTCACATTTAAACAATAAATAACTACTAAAGGAATGTAAAACGTAAAACTTACCTACTAATAGAAAAATGAAAATAATTTTCATGAATATAGAAAATAAACTGCCTATCCTATTTTGACCAGGAAGATGGGTAGTAGAGGTTTTGGGATTTACTATAGTTATTAATACTTACCACATACTATATATTATATTGTAGTATACATAGTATATTATAGTATCATTAACTTGTTACACATTTAATTTGTAATATTTTTCTATTTATGTATGGAGTTGAGATGACTTTACGGCACCTTCACGTAAAATTTGATTTACTATAAGGGAAAAATACTACATAAATGCATTACTTAGCCATGCAAAATCGCATACTAAATATAATTGAAATGTAAAAATCTCAACATTTTCAATTTTTCAGTTGTAGGAGAAGATCCATCTTTTTAAGTTTTATTGATTCTATTCCCACTTGTCATTTCATCATTGCTATAAGAAAGATATGTTGTTTAATTGAATACTGATAACTCACCTATGAAGGCCCTTCGGCCTTCAGGTACCACTAAACGGCTGAAAATTCGAAATATGATAGTTTTAATGTTTTTTTTAATTTTATAGATATCCTAATGATCCTATTAAAGATAGAACTTATGTATAGGATTTTAAATGAAAATTGTTGAATACAATTTTGTCTATGAACAACACATTAGATTTGTTCCTGCATTAGTGGTGTTAACATGTTATCAACTGATAAGTTTTATGAAAACAACGAAAGAAATGTGTGATAACTCAACGCAAATCTGAATACAACGATGGAAAGAAATACTGCAAGGGGAAACGCCTGTCCCTTCGGCGGAACAATCACCACCGGGAGGGAATCTGCCATGGACCTTATGGAAAACACTAAATATACTGAAATCAGGGGTAGCCAAAACGAGGGCCAACATGATCAGTTGGGGCTATAGTGAAGAGAGCGTGATCTGTGATTGTGGTGAAATCCAAAACTGACAATCGCTCACTACGGTACAGAATGGTTCCAGTGAAATGCAAAAAGGACGACTTGACTTTAGCCAACGATCAAGCAGTTGAAATAGTAACCTACTGGCTCGTACATAAGATTTGACCATGACATAATCAGCACCGGACACAAGAATAAGAAGTTGTTTAAGATATTTACTAAATTATCACTATGTTGATGTCAACATGTATGTCAGTGGGATTCTAATGGTGAAATTAAATGATACGAGAATAAATAACCTTTTTAACCTTTTTAAACATTTATCAAAATCTCACATATGATAATATGAATCCGAGATTTCTCTATTACGCATTAATTATTTACTTTCATAATACATATTAAACCACATGCGCCTTTCAATTATTATACTGTTATTTTTATTATAATTAGTACCTATATTATTTATTGTTAAGGCTCGGATTTATATGTGTATAATACCTAGATTATATTGGGTTAGAAATCTCAACATAGTTAATAATTATAGTAATAATATCTTTACTAAGGAAAATAAATTTTAATTTACGCAAAATATAAGTACCAACAGTACATTACAAAAAAGGCACGATTTAAAATAATAAAATAGAAAAAAATGATTTACGAGTAATAAGTAAAGAAAAAATTTCGTTTAAGTATACAACAAAAAAATAGATAATAAAAATTAATTTATAAATAAATGCGTAGTTTTCGAATAATTTAGTTAGGTTGAAAAGCAAAAAATGAAAAAAATGAAAATTATTTATTAAAATAGCAGTAAATATTAAAATATGAGACGAGGATAAATACATATATCATTTTGAAATAGGTATTAGGTAAATAAAATAATGATTTATTCCTAGTATTAGGCAAACTGATTTTAAAATTAAAATGCTCAATTAATACAGGACAACCTTAGACATTATTTAATAATTTGTGCAACATTTTTAGTATAATAACTTAGGTATATTATGTTTTATCCAAAGACGTAATTTCAAAAAATCCATGAACAATATCGTAACCAGAATGAGGTTTTCCATGAACATGGCATTAAAACCAAACAAATCGCAACATATTGAGAGGCATAGTGTTTGATATCAGTATATATAATATATAGATATTTTACCATCTCAAACTTGCATATTCAAATTTAAAACGTACTAGAGATACATAACAATTTTAAAATATGATCATCGTGAAAATTTTTTAATAAACCCTAATTTAGCGAATGCCTAATTAGTTATATTAACATAACGAGGATTAAAACAGCATTTTAAATCAAATGCATCCAAATTGTTCAACTCATTTGCCCGATGTATGGAATATGGATAGATTGTCTAGAGTATAATTATAATAATAGTATTATTGTTTAAACAAAAATAAACATTAATAATTAGCATCTAGGTAATATGAATATTATAGATATTCATATTACATTAATTTACATTATTATATTAATATATCATTCAAGATATATTTTGTTTGGCTTTCAAAAATATATAAAATATATTACAAATGTATTTATATTAAAAAAGTATAAATTAATCATCTCGATAATGCGAAAGTTTAATTAACATGGTACAAATTAGGTACATATTTTATATATCTATAAAATAATAATACGTTTTCTTATACATTTAGACAATTTAAACTACATATTTTATATAGTTTATTTATGTATTTAACCATAATTTATTTAGACGAGATCGTTGTTTCAAAATTTACAAATATACTTAAAAAAAAAACTAGAACTTGAATTTAACATCAATCAAAATAATGTCATCGCTTAGTAGGTTCATATCAGTTTTACTAGTTTTATAGGCAATTATATGTAGGTATTTCTCAATTTATCTATTGCAGTCAATATGATTAATTTGTTTTTTTAGGTATAAATTACACAAGGTACATATTTATGTACACATTTTGGTTGATTAAATATATTAATATCTGAGCGCCCAAGGCCAAATCTGGGAGTAAGAGTTAGAGGTTTAACACTTAGATCATTTAATTCTAATCTCTCCCTCTTGGATTTGATCCAAATATGGCATTGCGAGCCCTAATAATAAATACTCTAGGTATACTAGTAATACTATTTATATTTATCATATGCAGGAATTGAACATCCGATAAAATAGAAGACTCCTCCCAAACACTTAAATACTGTTTATATGAGACGGTCCAAAAATAACTATTTAAGGGAAAAGAGAAAATGTTCCTGGCCAGTTTATTAACCAAATCAAATGAAATAAAATATCGGGTAGTTTTGAAAATATGGCCACGACGTTCAAACTGAACGACCAAAGAACAAGAATATTAAAAATAATAGTATAATAATTAGTAGGTTGATATACCTATTTAATAGTTACATATTATAATAAGTAAGAATTGATGCGTATTAGACAAATTTCATTATCAAATGTGTAATATTGAATTATGTTTTTACATATTTTTAATGAAATCCATAAGATTTCATTAATCTCGTTAAATCCCCATTATTTCCATTCATTCATCTCACTTTTCCAGAACACCTACATTTCTCATAAAATTCATCTCTATTCTCTTACTTATTTTTCTTTTCAAATGATTGAAATATATTTATTTCATTTCATCTTATTTAGTTTCACCATTCTCACTTATCCAAAACATTCATACCTCATACATGGTATTTATCTCCAGAAGCTGTAGCTTTATTATTTTTGAAGATAATGTGCCCATGGAAACTGAAAATATAATAGTAGCAGTTCGTTACGTTATACTCCCTTTAGGTATTCGTAGAATTTACAAAATGAAATATTACTGAATCAAATCAGTCTATTAAACAAAGATGTTGAAGATTTTATTTGTTTAAATTTGATACCAAAATTTAATTATTTTAATATAAATAAAGATTGTCTATACATTGATCCGTCAAAATGAGAAAACGAACCCAACATATATATTACGCAACTAAAATTAAAAATATAGTAAATTCTGATCTAATATAATTTTTGCAAATAACACATTTTTAAAAGGAAAATTAATATTTTAAACATTTTATTTAAAATAACTTAGTTGTATCTTGAACAATTCAGAAAATATATTCTAATAGATAGAAAAAATGCGTAAAATAATTAAATTAATATACCTCATATTATTTTTTTCTTGGCATTTACGAACAATTTTTTAATAGCGAGTTTGTATAGGCAATAATCTGTTTAATATTTAAAATCTTATAGATTCAAATGCTATGTTTATGTAAATTAAAAAAAAAAAAAACAATAAAACTATCCTTTTTCATAATTTGAAAGCCTCTTAGTACACGTGAAAGCCGAAGTTATCTGATAGTTATCATGACCGAATTTAAACAACATAACTTTTTTATAGCAATGAACTAAATGTATAGCGTTAAAACGCTTTATTAAACTAATATCAAAAGTTAAAAATAAGGACCACCCTAGGCGAGACGTACCTTTTCTTTTTCGTATTTCCGCTTATTCGTTAATTTCGATGTCTGTTTCGCTACCGTCACTGCAACTCTTGGGTTTGGAACATCGCATCATCCTCTTTCTGCGACAACTGCTGCTCCTTTTTCTCGAAACTTTACAGGACTTACTTCTACGTCTTCTTCTCTTGTGACTATGTCACTGCTGCTACTGGTCGATGCTGTTCCTTTGTTTTTCAAATTGTTTTCCTCGTCATTTTTCGCACGGCGTTGGTTGGTTGGTTTTTTCTTCTGCTCCGTGACGATGACTATCTCCTCCTGGTGCTCCATCATCGGCGGCGTCTAAGATCGACTATGCCATCGAAGCCTCTTGTCACCATAGTCTTTATATCGTCCATCGTGTTGGTCTCGTGCTGGTGTCGGCCGTTCTATCTCGTGACATGGTTTGGCCACTCGCAGACCTTTACGACACCTAACCTAACCATCTGGCACTACTTCACCGACTTTTGGTTTGTCAACAAGTTATTATCGTCGGGCTGCAATTGTTTCCCGATCATTTTCAGTTATTTCAAACGTAAAACCATATACCACGAAATATATCTTTTTGAAGGTTTACTAAAGTTGAAAGAAATGTATTGGTTTTGGATTAGACACAAATACTGAATTATTACAGACTATATACAATACAAATCTACACGATTGCCATAGAATATCAAACGATTATTTTTTGTTTTGAATTTAATTTAGGCTAGTCTATTATAATATCTACTAGTGCTTTTGGCCAGTACTATATATTACATTTTTTTTTCTTAACAAATAATATTATCAATATTTTCGTATACGCAAGATTTTACCTTGGACGTATACGGCAATAAGTATTTGAACGAACTCCAAAACCTTCGTTAATCTGTTTTACTAACCACATAGCCAAGGGAATGTTACTCCTTGTGCGCCGCGATGTTCTAACACAAATTACCTCCTCTCGATTTGAACACTTAACTAAATGACCACGGTATACTGTTTAGTTAAGGTGGGCCGTGCTACTTTTTATACACGCTACGCAAAGGCTTGATGCATGCAACAGATATTTTCAGTTTCTAAATTCCCCGGAACGTCAAACGAGTAAGTATCGATGCCTGTTATAAAGGAATTAAAACAACTCACTCTTTTGGTGATCACGATAACGAGTACCTACTGCCTAAAAAGAATAATTGTTTAAAAAACCTTCAGGATTTATACAATATAACTCTAAAGTCACTTTATACTCGAAACAACTTACCACGATAATGAATACTGGATGTTTCAACCGTGAGGTTTCTTTAACACGGACAATAATGCACTATATCTCAACTAACAACGATATCGAGTACTGGATGAGATATAATTACAACAGTCCTATTATCTTGAATAAAATGGTTTATTGTCACTATAACGTTTCAGTACGCCACTAAAATAATTCTTAGAGATATATTTTAAAAGTAAAATAAACAAGAAATGAAAACAGAAAAATAGGCACAAAAAGGGTTTGAAATATATATAAAAATTTAACTCAGATTTGAACAGATTATCGTCACTCGTAATTACTGTTCTCCAAAACATTTTGAAAATGAATAGCCCTCTCTCGTGACCGTTGTTATCTTATATAAGTAGCTACCTATATTACCTACCTATAGTTATACCTATTGGACATTCTGTCATCTCAGCATTTTTATTTCTTGCCGTGTTCTTACTACCTATATTCCTACTATAATTAATTATGATTACTATGCTTAAAACTAGTGGCGTATAAACAACAATATGTTTAAACTCAAACATTTCCTCTCTGCTTCGTATTACCTTCTGGTAATATCCTACCTTGATAATCGCTCTTCCTCTGTCTGTGTAATTTCAACAATTTCTCAGTAAATTTCTTAATATTAGCCAGTGTCCCCCGAGGAAGCCTTTTCCTTTTCTATGCCCCATATTTGCCCATTATATCCCTGAATTTTTTCTTATATTACTAACAGAGTACCATTTTCTGTGTGTAGAATGTGTACACTTATCAATAAACTTTTTGTATGACACCCGGTCACATAACCGTCCATGCATTGTGTTAATTTGTCATTTTGATTACTAAATTCTTGCATGGGAAGCACCATGCGTTCTGGGTGCAATCGCGAATTGCCAGTTCAAGCACTGAATTATGGTTCAAACACCGTGCTAATATCAGTAACATCAAAATATACGAGAAAAAAAAAACACAAAAATGTGACTGTTTTGATATACTCCGCCGAATAACGAATTTGAGACTCTAACCTAATCTAATCTCCTATACCCAAGGCCTTAACGGCTTTACTACTGGACTACCTATATTACTATTAAGAAGTGGTTTTTTCATAGATATATAACTTATTTAGTAATCATATCGGACACTATTACAATAACCAAGGTGAGGCCAAGTTACCCTCCATTTTTTTTGTTTTTTTCATTATATCAAAATATTTTATCTTTCTAAAACTGAGTAAGAAAAATAAAAATTATTAGTGCTTCCCCACCACTGAGTTTTTTTGTGGCTTTGGTATGGATACTTATAAATAAAGGTTAAAGGTTTGCGGGTGACCACGAGTGTCTAAATAATAGTTTAAACTTACCCGACAGCATGGAGAGAGGTATGTGGGCGGGCTATATGTGATCAATTACAAAATAATATTAATGTGTAAAATCAACAATAAACTGGGAACATTCAAGCATTTTGCACTATAATAATCATTCAAAACTTTCCAATCATACCAATCCACGCATTTCCATACAAGACGGAGAAAATATCCCGGAAAATCCCCCACGTCGGTTACAAAGACGGTGGTGTAGGGATTTATTTAATCCCCAATTTTAAATTTACACATTAAATTAAATTGTCCCACTTGTATCCTAAATTTCCAACTTTCCGCTGACGACAAAGACGTGGACTATGCGAAGTGAGTGGGGTAAAAATATTTTTATAACCATATGGTTATAATTTGCCCCAATCATTTTTGATATTTATCCTATAATAATGTAGCACCCCGTGACTTCTTTTTACCAGTCCACGCGGTCATATTACTATTAATTGTTAGTATACAGGCATATTATTTATTATTAGTGTTATTATGCTACGCTCGGCATGTTAACCATTCGAACATTTTTATCTATGCCTAGTCACTGCAGTCGCAATAGTTAATACACGTCATATTATTGTTATTTTAATAACAGTACAATTCAATAATAACCGTACACAAAATACTATCTATATCATTTTCAAAATATAATCCTTAATTTTTTTAAATCAAACGTATTACGCCGAGTTTCGAACAATTTAAAAATCATATAATAATCCTATTTTTTATTATTATTATTTATCATAACCATCGTCAACGACGACAACGACAGTCGGGAATTATTTTACATTGTGTTGTAATTGAATATTATTAACGATGATAAATAATGTGTGTGATCCCGATGTGTACAAGCAACAGTGTCCGTCTTTTCAACGGTAAATACAATATTATAATTGTACATCCCGATTTACTCGTATAATGTATTGCTCTTTTTAACTTTTATCGTAAGTTAAATTCACTTGCGTGTCGATTAATTTTTCGGAATTTTCAAGAAAAAATTATGGCAGTAGGTACCTAATAGTGCAAATCGTTTACTTACTTTCTAAATTAACTGTTCTTTCTGAATAACTCGTAAACTGGAATATATTAAAAAACATTATGGGCTGAATTATATAAAATGAGAAATAAACAGTCTTCCTATTGTCAAAATAATGGAAGGGAGGGCATTACAATATCTTAAAATGGGCCAACTTACTTTCAAGATATTTAATTGTATAATTATTATGTTTTGTCGTTTTAAAAAATTGTATTAATGTTTATTTTTTTAAATTTTACTGGATATAAAATTAGGCATAATTCAGGGCTTATTCTAAGGATCTTTATTAACTACGCATTTTATTTAAATACGCCCATCATAATAGAACAGAATAGTTAAAAATTATAATATTTTTAGCTTTAAGGTGGAATAATTTAAAATTGAGGAAATAAAATAATAAACATTCGTGTTTAAAATACTATACAATTTTAATTAATGTCCTTTTTACTTTGTTCATAATATTTATATATATAGCACATAACACAATGTTGAAAGTTTCTTTTTGATTTTTTGTTTAGTTTGCTCTTCAACATTTTTTTTTGTTGCTTTAATAAATTTTGTTTACAAATGACTCGGTATATTAAAGACGATTCAAAACCATTAGTACAAGTAGTACAGTTGATTGTGATGCTTTGTAAAAAATATATACGTCATATTATGGTCAAATAATAAAAGAAGCATTATATATTATTTTCTTTAATAATATTTGTTTAATATTATACCGATTTTCCAGTTTTTTTCTTATTTATCCCGGTTTTCACATGTTTTTTCCGGTTTTTCACAATTGCTGGGAAAAATCTTGGGTAAACAGAATAATTACCTCTTTAAAGTACCTTCCCAGTCAGATTTCCTTTCAGAAAAAGTGCCATCGTTGTAAATTGGAACAAAATTGCTGGGAGAAAAGTTATTCATAGAAAAATAAACTGTTACTGGGAATGGGAATGGCCACTGTTCTAGGTAAGAAGTTGGGAAGGTAAGATACATAAGGTTATTTCATTTATATTTGTAAGCAACGATAAACCATTACTGACGAAAGATGATACGTAAGTCCGATATGAGTATTATTACCAAGTTGTAAGTATTTACGTGTTTTTATAATCAAATTACAGCAAACAAACTCCCAAAAATTAAAAAACCTCAAAAGCTCAAAAGTGGTTCAAAAGTTTTGGCGATGATACCGTAAGAAAGTAAATCAAAAAGGAAACAAAAAAGGTGTAATGTGGTTTTTCGATTAAATCATTTTTTCTGGTAGAAAACGTCGCTTGTGTTTTTATAAAATAATGAAATCATGAAATTTTATGTTTTCCTACGTCTTTTCACACTTAAGTGGAGTAAAATTTTTTGGTAGAATTTTTGTAAAAGATCTTTGTAAAATCAATTCGCTACACTTAGAATCTAAAATAATAGTATTATAGTTTGTATTTTAGGTTATGTAGTCACTATAGTCGTATCGTTCAATGTTTTATAACCATTTCATGAAAATCATATATGTGACAATATCTACGCAGCTGATACGATCATATTCTTCTATTGCAGTCTGATGATTAGGTATAAGTAGTTTTGAAATAATTATATAAACTGCAATTAAAATACGGCTTTTTTTTTCTGTACTGCTTGCAGTTGCAAAGGAACAGAAACAAACGAGCCGGTTTAATTATGTATTTTTTGTACTTAAGTATAATATTTTACAGTTTATCCTAAAATACAATTAACTGTATAAATATACAGTGTTGGTTTACTCTCTCTCTCTCTCTCTCTCTCTCTATGCATATATAGTATATTATGCTGTTTGACATATTCGAGTACTATTGGGACGCATATCGAAATGGTTCAATTATAATATGTTTCCACTTAGTTTATATTACTGCACTTGTCGTCATTAATTAATAACATTACGCACGCTCTCGTAGTATTACGCTCTCTCACACCACTGCAATGTAAATATAATTTACTACTACTTCTTACTTATTCAAGTAATTCAAGACATTTACGTTTATATAATATAAGTCGTACATATTATCTTCTACTCCTTTGCTTTCATCTTAATTATTTAGAATTGGTCAACCTTGCCCTGAACTTCCACTTAACCCGATCTCCCACATTATCTTTGCATACACCCATGGGCATAGCATGGGTGGAACAGGGGGGGACACTTCTCTCCCTGTGCCTCAAACTGAATTCTATTTTGTTTTACCGAACTTATAAGTTTTACATTAAAATCAAAATATTAAATTAGATATAAAAACATGAAATCTAAAAATAGTTTAGTGGGACGAGCTAATGTAATCTCGCTCATAATTTTAGGTCTCTGTATACTAAGCGTATTTTACTACGTAAAATTGCTGGATGAAAAAGAGGAAGAGCTGCAACAGAAAATTCTAAGCAGATTTTGCCAAGACTAGATATTGTTATAAATAAAAAATACTAATGTAAATAAATAATTTTTAAAATAAATTGAGTTTTAATTTGCCCTCCCAAATTTTGGACATCCCAAAATGTCCAAAAGATTTAAAAGTTCGGAACCGCCGAGACAAAAGTTCGATCAATATCAAAAAGACGAAATTACGCGTACAGAACTTATTAAACGCATGTGCCACAGTTATAAAAAAAATGTTAAATATATTTTATCCATTTGTAACAAATTGTATACATTTTTCAATTTCGTTTTGCAATATGTATATAATTATTATTGACATGTCCCATACGAATTTTTTAAATTATACCTAAATTAACTATTAAAAAAAAGGAAAATTGTAAAAAATTATTTGTTTGTATTTGAATGTACTTTGTTTTTTTAAATTTAAAAATCTTACATTGGTGACCAAAATAGTGTACTGGCCGAAAACGGTTATTACAGAATGGCCGAAAAGAGAAAGGTTGTTTTGGCCGAAACGGGTGCCGCCCACTAGTATTATTACTTACCGAAAGCCGAGATCTAACCAGCATAGTATCCAAAATTCATTGGGACCCAACTAGTGTACTACCATCGAAACCGCGGCGCCGTGCACTTTGCCTCCGTGCATTTTTTGCCATTACCTTTTTCGTTCTATTTCCGCCTATTCCCGTGCTATATATCTTCACCTGCTGTAATTATATAAGGTGGACTATTCGCTCAAAATTTGAAATTATATAAAATTAATATTATATAATATACTAGTATACAATTTTCAAATTATTAAAGTTTAAATGGTTAATTTCATAGATACTAGGTATGTAAATATGAAACCGGAATTTTTTTTACAGAAAATATACGTTTATTATATGAAATAGATAACACATATTTTGTTATCAGTTTCGCCAGGTTTTAGTAGCTCATAATAGATCACACCTTTCTGATCCCATCGAGCACAAGCATTATCTTCCATCAAAATTTTGCGTTGGTCTTCCACGTTCTTCATTTCTCACGTCAAAATCGCCTCATTTAAATTTTTAAATCACTCAAAGTACTGTGATTTTCCAAGACCATGCTCACCGTAAGCTTCGACAAGCATTCAATGCGATTTTGCAGCCGTATTCAAAGCAGTATCAAATGGTAACAAAAAATTAACGCTGAACGCAAATCGTAATTTCCAGGCACAAAATTCGACATGGTCAATGCTATTACAAACTATGCAGAAAACCAGAAGTATTTTTGGACAAAGTCCGGTTTCATATTTACATACCTGGTAAATGTGTATTTAATTTATTAAAATATTGTATTACGAGTTGATTATTTAATAAAATTATATAAAATGAATATGATACAATAATATAATCGAATAAAATTGTCAAATTATAGTTATGATTCAGATTTCTGAACAAATGATAACGGATAGGCATAATAGTTACACAATTGTATTTCACTTAATTTTGTACGTATAGATTTTCAATTATAATTATATAATTATATAAACTATATCGATATAGGTTTCAGATAACCTATAATCATATTATTATTATCAATCAAATGTTCACTGTTAGTAATGTTTTGATTTTTGTAGCGTTACGTTCGGATTTTGAAATATACAAGGAAACGGTAGACTATAATAATTTGACAATTTTATACGATTATTATCTATTATATTAATTTTGCATAATTTTAAATTTTGAGCGATTAGTCCGTCTTATACAATTTCAACAGGTAAATATTTCGATAGCGGGCGCAAAGTGCACGCCACCAAAACCGCTAGGGTTCAAGTTCAAATGTTTAAAAGCAATACAAAACATTTTCCTTCTTATTTTTATTGATTTAGAACTTAGGATTGGCAAAATAGATTCTATAGTATCTATTTTTCCAGTGGTTTTTTCTATTATTTTATTATTTATACATTTTTCTTTTTGTAAAATATAATTTTATTTCGTTATTTTCTGAACTTTTCATTTTTATGTATGTATCTGTTCGAGTACATTTTAAAACTTGTGTTCACTGGTAGATATTTGGATGAGTATATTGGATATAGTGTGTTTTTATATTTCTAAACTTCTAAACCATTATATTAATTAATATGGATATTATGGTACTAGACGACTAATAAACTCCCCGCATAAACCCGGGACTCAATGAACTAGTAAACTACCCACATAAACCCGGGACCCAATTAGTGTAGATTTTTGAACACAGTACCCAACTCGGATGCACCGGGCGGAATCAATATATTGGTAGAAGTTATTGCCCCCCCCCCAAAAAAAAAAACATAAAAAAATCAGTTTTATTATTATTACACAATATTGTTTGGCTTTAAATATTTTTTCTACTTTCGTAGCAACTTTACGAAACTGTTAGAAACGAAAATATATTTTAATACATATAGTTAAAACCGCGTGTATGCAACGTTTTTTTTTATGAAGTTGTACGTGATTTTTGATATTTTAAAAATCGTGTGTTGTGATTATTATTTCAAATCAAAATAAAATATAATTATTTAAATACGTAGCATAACATTTTAAATAATATGGCAAATAGCGAAGACGACACGACAAAAACCGGCCGTTTGTTTGACGATAAAGACGCAATATTTTACTTTTATTACGATTTGGTTAAGAAGCTCATTTTAATACGCCAAGATGTCGAATGTAATTATTTATATTACACATATTTTAATATTACAATACATCTAAAACCAATACAATATAAGTAATGTTAATAAATTGAATTCACATATTTTAGAAAATAATCTTGAAGCGTTATAATCTCTCACGCATCACCATACGAATGCCTAGTAAAATTATTGTAATATGATGTTATAGATAAATGTTCGTTGTCGAGTTGGTTAAAAGCGTTAGAGAATAATAAAAACAAAACGGTCCGAAACGATTATATAAAACTAATGCTTCTGGTGTTGCAAAATGATTTTCCATTATGTCCGTTTAAGGATTATCCACCCGAAACAATCGATCCTTTGGAATACGGTGTACGTTATTATAATAGATATTCACGGCGTTGCGTGAAAATTGACCGTAAACCATATATATGTCACGCATAGTATAAAGTAGTGTTTAAAGCGTAAAATACCTATACCTAACCAAATATTCGCAGGTGTTCGAAAAAGCGAGAAAATTAAGACAGGGGGAAGGCACGGCCACGTGTATTGGGCCTAACGAGACCGGTGATACAAAAGAATCGTACCCGACAATCAGTACCGCAGTGTCGCAAGACAAACGTCAATACGCGGCCTATCAGGTAATACCGAACGTGGGTGTACAAAGCTATTTTGCTTTTTCTGACGACCATTTATACAATTGGACCATACCGTCGGCAATATCCGTCCCCGTTGAAGGGCCGCACACCAGAGACATCGACTGGGAAAGAGCGCTGGCGGGTATACAGCTGAAACGTCCGACAAATTCGAGTGCGGAAAATCTAGAAATAGACTCTAATGTAAAAAATGTAAAAATCGAAAAAGAGTAAGTGACGTACTTGTATATAAACCATAGACACTATAACCAATAGCGTTTGTAATATTACCTAAAAACTAATTCAATTTTTTCATTGATTTCGCAACAGTGACGATGTTACGGTGGCACTGTCGGTTTCCGGCAGTGCAGGATCTTCTAAAAGAAAGTAATAATAGCTATTTTACGTCTCTTTTTGTTAGTGTAGCATTATTTTATTTTCTTATAATTTACACAGAAACTATTTTTCTATTACTGATTGTTTTCCTAGTCCGAACTCCTACGCGTAATACCTGGATATATAATATATATATATACAGAGTGTAACAGGACTATTTAATAAATATAATAACTTTTATTGAATATTTTTAAGTTTATTTTTTCTGTAATAATTAATAGAGCTCTACGCTATAATTTGTGTATTCTATGTTTAGTAAAAAAATCTTTATTTTTATTTTTAGTTGTAAAATATTAAAATAATACAATAGCTATTCTATAATTAATTTTTAGAATAATTGTTAGTATTTATTAATAAACCAATCAATTAATTTCCTCATTAATTTTTAAACAGTTTTTAAAATTTGTTAAAATTTTAAATTTTTTCTCTTACCAATTTGACAATAAATAACGATAAACTATATTTGACTAACAATAAATGATAAGCGTTTATCAAACTCAAAGCTTAAATTAATATGATAAGAATATTATCAAATTGTACAATATTTCATTGAAAAATTAAATTAACCATATGAAAAGCAAGCAAATAACGGCATATTTCATACAAACTTTAAAAATTGTTTGAAAATAATTGACTCAATCTTAGTAAGAGTCCTTGACACCAAAATTTTTCGAAAAATTCGATTTACAAAAAGACTATCTGGATAATTGTTTTACATTTTAAGTACAATTTTAGATTTTGGATTTTGAGTGTAGAGAAGAATGTATTGGTTTTACGAAGATGCTTATTTTTTTTTTACCTATGCGTGACTTTTCTACCAGAAATCTTGTTCCAATTTATAATGGAAATTTCACTAGGGAGGTACTTTAGAAAGGTAATTTTTCAATTTTCTTAGGAGTTTTTTCATCAAATTTGAAAAAACCGAAAAAAAACATGGGAAAACCGTGAATAACCTAGGAAAACTGAGAAAATCGGTACAACATAAAACAAATATGATAAAAGAAAATATATAAAGTCTGTTTAATTATTTAACTAAAAAATCGCATATATATATTGTTGACAAAGCATCACTATCAACTAAACTCCGCTCAAAATCGTTTTTTCGTAAGCAACGGTTTATAGTTTCTTACAGGCAGTGCCGAATTAAGAAATTTAGTGCCCTTAGGCCTTGTATAAATTGGCGCCCTTATTGTATTTATTGTCATTGTAAATCGGAGTAATATTGCTGGTAGAAAAGTTGTTTATAGGAAAAAAATTAATAAATAAACATCATTGTAAAACCAATAGCACATTCCTTGCTCCACTCAGAATCTAAAATCTCTTGTATTCTTTTTTTTAAACATGCATTTTACATCGAAAAAAATTGCATAAAAATAAACAAAGTACAATAAAAATAAGTGTTTAGTAATTAAGAGCTATACTAGCTACTTAGTAATTACATTTACATAAAATACTAATTTCAATTAACTTTTTTCCTGAGTTTCCTGGTAGCGAATTCAGTTACTATATCAGAATAATCCAAGCTTTGAAGAAGTTAATTTTCTATATTTTATAGAAATAATGCATTCAATCAATTTGATGTTATTGTAGACCTCGTATAATCATAGAACATGATAAGATAAAACCGATAAAAATAGTTATTAACGGTATCCAACGGAATATGGGCCACCGGCAGCCGCAGATTTCAAACACAATCTATGGTGATATAACTCAACTTAAATTCAATGAAATTACGAGATTGCATTGTTTGTTATTAATGGAAGAAGGAAAATATTTGTACCCTCTATACAACTTAAAATTATGGCGCCCCTAGGCCAAGGCTTGCTTGGCCTATTTGTTAATCTGCCCCTGCTTACAGGTATACATTAAATTATCTATACAGTGGCTGCGCCCGTATTCTATAATTCTGGGATGTCTCTTTTTTTATGTTGTGTACAAAAATTTTACCAGAAATGCTCCGATATGTACGTATGGCACTATTTATGAAAGGAAATATTTTTTTGGGTTTTTCAGCAGTTTTCCCAATAAAAGAAAAAAGTGAGAAAAACGAGGAATTTACGAAAATGATACTTTATTATTTTTGCAATTTTGTTATTTGTTGTAATACAGTTAAAACTAGTCAAAAGGACTTGAAATTTGAACATTTTTGAGCTATATATAGGTATTTTAATTTTGCAAGTTTTGCACGTTTTATTTTATTTCGATAGGTAATTTGTGGTAAGATTGTAAGACAAAACAGAAATACTTGAAAATTTAACAGGAAGTCCTCTAAAAGTCGTACTTTGTAGTTAAAACAAAAATGTTTAGTTTAAAGTAGTATTTTTTTTATAAAGGAATTTTCATATTTTAAGGATTTTCTCAGGAAATTTTCCAAATAATTAAAAAAATCGGGAATAAATATGAAAAAACCGGGAAAAACGGGAAAATAGATACAATATTAAACAAATATTATTAAAGAAAATACATAATACATATGTTATTATTTAACATATGTATAAATTGTTGACAAAGCAACACTATTAACCGAACTCCGCTCATAATCGTTTTTTCGTTAGCAATGGTTAATCGTGTTGCGTACAGATATATATTAAATTTCTCTTCTATTATTACCTTCCTAACATCTGGGACCGTGCACTGTCTGTTCGTGTGTTTTCCGCTTAACATCTTTTTTTGCAATTTCCGCTCATTATCGTAATCTTTACCTGATGAAATTATAAAAGGATTATTCACTCATAATTTAAAATTATAATATATAAATTGTATAAAATTGTCAAATTATTTTAATTTTGATTCTGATTTCTGAACAAATAATAAATGATAGGTATAGTTATAAATTATACTTAACGTAATTTTATACACACCGTTTTCCATTATAACTAGTACAATATAACGAATTTGTCAATGGAAGGTTTGAGCTTGTATACGTACCAGCAAAAGAAAGAAAACGTATATATATTTAAATCAACATATTAACCAAATAAATTTAAATTTCTAATGACAAAAATTAAATTTGATTAAATAATAAAAAAAAAAGTTATGATAATAAATAAATAATTATGTACCCACTCGTAATACAATATTTTAATGAATTAAATACACGTTAATTTATATTTTTAAATTTTAAGCAGATAGTCCACCTTATATAATTTCAGCAGGTAAAGTTTACAACGGGCGGAGTGTGCACGCCACCCAACTTCCCACCTATAATAGTGGCTGCACCCGTCACCATTATCCAAGGACAATTTTTTTATTTTGGATTTCTAAACATTAAAATTTAACTAAAACATATGCAAATTATAGTTCCAAGGTATAATAATACATATATATATTTTTTTTAACTTAAAAATATTCAATAGAGAAAGATAATATATTTGTTAAATAGTCCTGTTACACTCTGTGGATAAAATTCAATAAATTCATAATATCGTTTTTATATCGGCTTTATCGTAATGTATCTTATCGTACGTATAATATCTTTGTTTGTAAAGGAAAATGTTTTATTACAGACTAAGAGAAAACGACGACTCGGAACTATGCAAAGTAATGTTCACTGAACAACAAATGCGAGGGGTGACTGAAGTATTCGAATGGAATGACGCCAGTCTATTGACTGGAGAAATAATACTTGGTGCCGAAATGGGCTCTGACCGCAAAGTGGACGCGCAAGTCAAGACACAACCGGAACTCGACAAAGAAGTGGGCTATTGTTATGACAAGCTCTATCCCGGCGATTTTAGAATACTAGTGGATCCGTCTTTTCTCAGCGATGTAATCCGTCAGAAAACTTACGTTGATATGGAAACCGGCGATAAAAGTATTATCGATTGTCTTTATTATAAGAACCAAACCATTGTAGTGCAGACCATTGTTTTGACTATAATATTTATTTTTTTTTTTGTAATTTTAGAAACGGTAAAAGAACAACAGTCCGACGAAAAATCAAAAAAAATACAACCTGACAATACCACGGGAAAAATGTGCGGTGAATCGTGCTCATCACCAAAGACTTGTCGTCAAAGAGCGGGACAAGAGACTACTCCAATAATGCCATCACCGGACGAAGACACGCATAGCATTGATGAGGGAAAATATGATCTCAGACGAAAGATTTCGGAAATATCGTCTGATCTAGCTGCACTAAATCATTCATACGAATCCAGACATTTTAAACAGTTGAAAACCCGTAGACATGTCGAGTCGAGTGCAACGATAACGTGTCCACAGACTAGTGCTACAGACACATGTAGTGCGGATGAAATGTCGAGAAAGAATCGGGTGGCAGAATACGGGAACGAATACGAAGAACGACCATCGCATTCGAAATTGCATACGGACCTGTTAGATTTTCAACGTCAGATCAAAATGGCCGAAGAATGTTGCAAAAACGTCGTCCCGAAGCAGGGAAATAAAAATAATAAATGTACAAGTTCTAAAAATATTGATAACTGCGATTCAGCTGAAACATCGTCGGATGCGTGAATAAAAATTATGTAGTATATGTTTATTACGTCATTAAACCTACGACCTATCTAAATTAAAATAAATGGAAGATCTAGTTACCATTTATGTATGTGTAGTAAATTTTACTTATAGTTAATTTTTTTTTTTAAATAAAAACCTAATACAAAATAAAATAAAACTGTATTAATTAATTAATTGTTTGAAATATCGCAAAATGCTCATTAATGACTTTTTCCAACATTCATACCCTCTACAATTCACCTACCGTATAAATAACTTGCTAATAACACCTTTCAGCACCTCCGTTTGGTGATCTTAATTCCGCTCTAACTCCTACTCTTTTTTCTCTCAAACATATTGAAATATCTTGCTTCAAAGAGTTCAATTCTTGAAGTTCATAAATTGCACCTCTTTTGTCCCCTTATTCGATTGATCCTAAAATATGATTCCGTTCTTTAGGACCGTTCCTTGTTTTGTGGTAAACCGTCAATCGAGCGCGTCGAACGTAAGTTCCTTCATTTATAGTTGCTTTCCGCTTTAATATTTCCCACCGGCACACCCATCTCATATTTACTGTTTTGATGATTACTAATTCGTTCGTTTTTCCTATGCATTTTCCCTGGTTTCGAAATTATTATGAATATTGCTTAGAAAATATTAAAAAAAGCAAAACAACTAGTAAAAAGCTTCTTTTTTAGGAAACTTTTAAAAACCACTATATTTCAATTTCATATTTAAACTCGTAAAATTACACATATTTCTATAGCACTAAGCTAGAATTAATGTCAGACGGGTCAAAAATAATAAGTAAATGCTATAAAATATAAATTCTTAACCCTATTTAACCAACTACGGCGGTCGATCAAAGTTATAGGAATCTTTTTAAATACATTTTTTGTTGTCAGAGACATTTGAGTAATTATTATAAACCTGTGTGTTCAATGAGACAAAGTTGAAATTACAAAACGCAACAAATTTCCTGTACAATATTAAATAAATATGCATTCAATTTATCATAATATAGTATAATATGAAGATGTCATGTATACACATTTTACATTAAATAATCTTTGTCTGTGTTACAAAATTAGGTGTCAACACAATAACACCAACGTAAATACTGTGTAGCTAATTATAAATATGGGGTTTGTATGGGGGAATTATTTTTTTACAAGTTTCCTGAAAATAAGATAAGAATAAAGCCCATCTGCTGCAACCAAATGTGAAAACGGGTAATCGAACACATAGCCGGTGTGTATGTTCTTGCAGGGATGCTATGAAAGGATTTAATTTCTAATAATTAAAAATAAATACAGTAAAAAAATGTATATATAAAAAAAAATGAATAAATTAACAAATGCGTCACCCAGAGTATTATGATAATTTTTTTATATGACTGGCTTCGAATTAAAAATACTACAATAAAATAAATACAAATATACATTTATTTATTTTAGATTCCGAGCGTAGCGAGGGAGCTCTTGGTTTTACTAAGATGTTTATTTTTTTTCTTCTTTCTTTCTTCTAGTCTGTGGAAATGTTTTATTCTAGTAAACTTGCTCCGATATTTACGTGTAGCAATTTTTCTGAAAGTTCAAGTTGTCTAGATGGTACTTTAAACAGGCCATTTTTAATTTTCGACACAATTTTTTTATAAAAACACTTAAATGGGAAAAAACGTAGGAAAACGTGCAATTTCATGATTTCATTATTTTATAAAAACACGGACGACGTTTTCTACTAGAAAAAATGTTTCAATCGAAAAACCACAAAATTCCTTTTCTGTTTCCTTTTTGATTTATTTTCTTACGATATTATCGGCAAAACTTTTGAGCTACTTTTTAGCTTTTGAGGATTTTTAATTTTTGGGAGTTTTTTGCTGTAATTCGGTTATAAAAACACGTAAAGACTTAAAACTTGGTAATAATAATCATATTGGACTTACCTAGACGTAGTAATATTTCCAATATCATCGGACGACTTTTTCCTTTTTTTAATTTTTTACAATGGTACTTAATTTTTTTTTTATACTATAGACCACTTTTATCCTATAAAAGTTGATCCTATGTATAAGTATAGCACCTTTTCTGAAAGTCAATTTTATCTACTTGGTATATATGTCATTTTTTTATTGTTCGAAACAGTATTTAAAATAAAAACGATTAACCGGGAAAAAAAATACGATTTTTTCACGATTTCGTTATTTTAAATAAATACCTACAATATTTTCCAGCACAATATGGCTCCAATTGAAAAATGACAAGAAATCCTTTTTTGTTTCATTGTACATCTTGTTTCTCATGGTGCAAGTCGGTTTTTTTTTTTTAAATAAGCGTTTTGAAATCAAATTAAAACGAAAATCGCAAAAAAAAATTACGACACTTCAAATTATGTATTACCGAATTGCGCTCGGAATCGTCTTTCGTCAGTAATGGTTAATCGTTGCTTACAATTATAAATGAAATAACCTTATGTATCTTACCTTTCCAACTTCTCACTTATAACAGTGGCTGCACCCGTCCCCAGTATCAGCTCTTTTTTTATTTATTTATTTTTTACTTTATTTATTTACGAGTATTACCCATTTTAATAATTTTGTATTTACTTTAATATTTTATTAATTAAAAATAAGCATAGTTTTAGTGAATATATGATTGTACAAACTATGTTGATTTAAATATTTTACATAAATGTCGTTCGCATTAGCATTTTTAGTTTTCCAATATTTATTACGATTTCGTAGGTACGATAAATAATAAATTATTGTATTTAAAAATAAAATTGGTTTTGGAAAAAAGAACTCAGAATTAAAAGCATATTGATTAATTTTTATTGTTTGAAATAATATTCAGTTTTTTGTCTTTCGCTATCGCACTGATAGTTTCGACGAATAACCTGTCAAAAGTAACACGCTATACTCAAGTATCGTCTGTTTACAGCAGATGTTAGACAAAATTTTTTGAGTGATTTCATACTCAAGTATTTCAATATTTATTAACAAAACGTGTTTCCCAAGAAAAAAATCACATCTTTACAAGTACTTACAATAATTTCTTGACGTATCGTCTCGTTTCATAATCTAATACTCACTACAATATAATTGGAATTAATGGAATTTAATCAAAAACACGATTTATTGAACAATACAAAAAATGTTGGTAATAATGTTTTTAAAAAGTTATATTATTAAATCAAAAAGCGAATATGTATTTATTGTTATACCTACTATCAATATTGACGAGATAGTTCAAATTTCATTTTATACACAATATACCTACCGTGACTTTTAATCTTATAGAGTTATTTTAAATAGAGATGGGCTGATATCACTTTTTACTGGTGTCTATCTATCCGACATACATTCCGATACGTGCTACTGATATAAAACCGATACTCGATATCCAATATTTTAAATCAAAAACCATTAGTTAATATTGAAATTAACTGATATATTGGTTGAGATCCCGATTTTTTCTATTTTTTTCTCATATTTCAGAGACATAATAGACATTTTTCTCTAGATACGTTAATTTAAAAAAAAACCGTTATCATCGATACCGCGTATCGGTTTATGTATTGACTCACCCCTAATTTGTAATGGTAAATAAGTTGAGTTTTCGGTAATTTAATATGATTATCGGGATTATACTACTAGACCATGTTACTTTAAGAGAATTTTATACCCGCATCTACTGTTTCAGTAAAATTACCGCGGGTAACATGCATAAACAATGCTTATGCAGAATAAGTAAAACTAACTTAATTGTGATTTTGGAGTAAAAGTACCTATTATGAAATATATATAGAACAATATTTTGGAGGGAATGTCATAGAGATTTTGTATTATTCAAAATATACAGCTCGATATAAAAGATACAAAAACCTTTATTTTTTTGTTTTTTTTTAAATAATTGTAACTTTTTTAATAGTTCATAATTCAAAAAACAAACTGTTTCGAAATGCTGTGATTTTTAAAATGTCCATTTCCGTAAAAAAAAAAAAAAAATCTATTATAGTATTATATGACTCAATTAAAATGTTTATTAAATATTATAAGTACCACTTATTCATCCTCAGTGTTATATGTTAAGCATTTTTTCTGAGTCAAAACAATTTAATCCACACAAAACTTATGATTAAAATGACTATAAATAGCTTAAAAATCGCGTAAATATTTTATAAATTTGACCATATCTAGTAAAGAAATAATATAAATTTTCTGTAAACGTTTCAGGTCCCTAGAATTATTTCTAACTGAATTACAAAAAAAAAAAAAATAACGAAAATAACGTTAATACGTAGATTTTCCTGTTTTTCGGATATTTTTTCCGAATTATTAAGAAAACTACCAGGAGAATTAAAAATTACCTCCACAGCAAACCACCAACGAAATTGTCTACCAAAAATAATCTCTGAAGTTGATAATCGGATCAAGATTGTTAGTAGAAAAATTATTTGACACACTACCATAGTAAAACCAATATACCAAATCGTAGTTAGTAAGCACAAAACTCGAAATGTTTAACGTTAGTAAAAAATATGCTGTTAAAAGAAACTTGTATTGTTGTAAGTTGAAAATGTTTGTTAGATTTCAAAGAAAGAAAATGGTGCCAATAATCTACTCTGTCGGTAAATAAATTGACAAATAACGCACTCTATAGGCAAATTCCGGTTTCATATTTACAGACCTAGTATAAATTCTTCGTTTCACTTAGCATCTAATTTATAGCTTGTATTATATTAAATAATATTTTGTTGTTTATGTCTCTTATAAAGAACCGTCATCATTAAAAATATTGATCAGATATTATTAGGTATCGTCTCGTGTGGATTAATTACCCCTTGCCTAAACCGTTTGTGTGTACGTATATCGTGTATATATATGTATGTATGTATGTATGTATGTATGTATGTATGTATGTATGTATGTATGTATGTATGTATATATGTATGTATGTGCACGTGTGTGTATGTCCTTATGTGACGTGTGTTTCTGTGTGTGTAGACGCGCGTGCCAA